ATTGACAATATAGTTTTTATTTAAAATATCAGTATAAATTTGCATATATAGAAAGAAATCTATGTTTAAAGAGAAAAATCAAATTAAATGCTTGCATCATTGGTGCAATAAGCTAAGCAAATTATGTAACCATTGAATTACATGTTAAAATACAGCAAGATAGACTAGATAGAAGATAGATAGATAGATAGATAGATAGAGACTTATAAACACAAGACTTAGGAACTAAGGAGTTCTTTTGGCTAAAACCTAATATTGGCTTTATTTCAGTTTAATTGGAAGAGGATCTCAAATTCATCTTCTCCATGAGATATCAGGAACTTGGATTTCTCTTTGTACCAAAGGTTAATAAGAAATGTGTCTGCAAAAGTCAAACAGCATTAAATACCAAAAACTGATTATTATTCTACAGGAGTTGTTCTGTCATTCATAATCTCTCCATGCTCCAACCTTCCACAGCTAATCTTTAATGGATGACATGCAAGAAAGAAAAATAACTAACATATAAAGCAGAGGTTCTAAAGTGAGCTTTTAAGAAATAGAAAAATAAGGCTTTTAAAGATATATAAATATTTTAAATATCACAAAATAGCATATAAAACACTATCTAAATAAATACTTTTAAGTGAAATGTAAGAATCATCTGCATACTATAAAAGCAATAGAATAACAAAAATTAAAGAGACAAAAAAACACTAGACAATGCCCACCAGGACTGTTTAGGAAAAATGAAAGTTTTAATTGGACAAGCTAATATTAGAAGACATAAAAACACATCATCACTGATATAAGAGCAAATTAATGGATGCAAATCAGGCCACAGCATACTATCTTTCATTGTGAAACTCAATTTAACTAAAACAAATTTTAAAATGCTTATGTGTTAATGACTTTTTATTAGGTGAGAAGAGATACATACCTAAAGAACAAAAATGCAATGTTTCTTCTGTGCTTCTCTAAAATATCCCCTAGTATTTGAAGGTCATACATAACAAATGTCAAATAATATTACCCACATGTATAATTTAACGAGCTAAAACTCAGTAAAAAGTCTTAAATAGCTACAATGAGGTAAATCATTAATGCATAGGGAGTGAGGTGGTCATTTCAGCTTTTCCTAAGACTAAATAAGACCTATGTGTTAAACATTTTAACTTTTTTCTAGAGGTTTTAAAATTTTTTCAGTATTTTCACACTTTTGAAATAAGGTTAAATCTAAAAATTAAGGAAAACTCAAAACTGGGGATCCAATTAAATAATAAATAAAAATCCTCTGTAAACTATTTTAACAAAAGAAATACAAATCAATTCCTTGTTTAACAAAACCATTAAAAATAACTATCCCATACTTATCTATATAATTAATATGGAATAGTAATTTACATAACTACACAACAACTAGGAACACTTTGGGTATGTCCTCTATTAGATGAAGTCTTGATAAAACAAGATGGTTACAACATCATCATCTTATCATCATAATTATTTATTGAGTTTCTTCTATGGGTTAAGCACTTCATAAACATTATGTCACTTAAGCATTGAAGCAACCTATAGCAGATTTTAACTAATGCTTAGTGAAGCTGTCATTACACACGATAAATGGCAAAAAGATTAGAACAAAGGTCTGAATCCAAAGTCTGCACATTTAACCACTACTTTCAACATGTATGCTGTATTATGATTGAGAAGTGGTAACAGGCAATACAAAAAATGCCTGAAATCCCAAATCTGTCTTATTTGCTGATGTATATTCAGTGTCCAAAACAGAGCCTAGAACATAATAAGCCCTCAATAAATACTTCTTGTTTGATTTGTAAAGAAGTAAGCATAGTTCCTGTGAAACATTTAAGTGCTTAATAAACAGTGTCAATGATGGTGACAATGACAATAATGATGGTGATGTAAAAAAAAGAAAAGAAAGGAAAAGGGGTCAACCATCAGAGATTTTAACATGATAGGGGATACAGCTGATTTTCAAACTCTCATAAAAATCACATTAGAATAACAGATTCATGTTATGGAAAAACCAATGGAGAAACAAAGGAAAAAGATTTGAAGCTAAGTAACGGTCTACATGAAAATTTATCATACATACACATTGCATAAAAGCTCAAATTTTTTGCATCCCATTTTATTTTGAATTCACATTTTAGAAAATATATTAGTGATATGACATATCCGTATCTCAACTGCAATGTTATTTATAATCCAATCCTTTGTTTCTTCTTTTGTTTGTCCATTTTTCAGTTTAGTGCCCTTTCAAAATCTATTAACAGTAACCCAGTAATTTTTAATTAAAAGCCAAACAGTTATAAAATGTCTTTTTATAACTTCTGGCAATAATTACACTATTAAAAGTTTAAGAATTTCATGAATGTAAAAGCAATAAAATAATATTATTTTGAGCTACAACTTACTGAGTACTAGTTATGTACCAAGTACTTTTATATATTGTCACTTATCTTTAAAATAATCTGGTAAATTGGTTAATATTCACATTTTACATGGGAGAAGATAAACCCAAAGGGGACAAATAACTTGCCCAAAGGTGGAGAACCAATATCAAGTGCCCAAGCTGTAATTTGAACCTGGATCGTTGTGACTCTAAAGATTTTGGTCTTCCCAATTGCCCTAAACTGCCTACAGAGAACTGGGCATCTTTTATTTTATGTGGTCTTGTCTGTACTAGATTCTTACAAATTATACAATCACCTCAGAAGACAAAATGGACTAATATATATGTTACATAATAAACATAAAGACATAAAAATAAATACAAAGAAAAAGTTGCATGGGTAAAAAGGTACAACTGCATCACTGTCATCATATGGTTTTTGTAAAACCATATGGACTTTATATCTCAAATTTTAAAATTAGAGTGCAAATAATTTCTTAAAAAAGAAACCACATCTTTTGAAAGCAATGTTTATTTTTTCTAATACTAAATCTATGCTCATTATAGAAAATTGGAACAAGGTAGAAACTGTTCACTGAAAAATTAATAGTTTCACTTAAAGACCACCATTTGCCACTTATTTTATATAATATACATATACATATTTTTTCTTTTTATAAAATCATATTATAAAGACAGTGTTTCCCCTATTTCTTTCACCTAATAGTTATGTTTTTCTCATATCCTCAAATATTCTTAATTACTGCAAAATGTCTCAAATTGTAAATGTATCATAACATTTAATAATTTCCTTATGGTTAGACTGTTTTTAACTATCTTGCTATCACAACTAATGTTATATGAATATTTTTATATATAAATCTCTACATTTTATACACTCTAAGAAAATGCCTACTATTTCCTTAGGGTAACTCATATTTTAATTACCATCTGATTTTTAAAATGTACAGATTTTTAAAATTCTATTTGCTATTTCTAATGTTTAGTTTAGATGTTTTCATAAGCATTTCTTTTATTGTCAAATGGTTTGATCTTTTTAAACATATATATTCTGCTTAAGGACATTATAATAATTTAATGCATACATAATTCAAACTGTTCAAATGGGAACCTTTAAATATATACCAATAAATAAAATATTTGAAGTATCTGCTTAGCTACATTATAAAAAATTTAAGGAGTAAATATCATTGCTTAATTAGGTTTTGCCTGCAAGAGATAAATGGGCTAGGCAGACACATTAATTCACAACTTTTATTAGGTTATGAAAACCCAAATCTCATCAAATTATTTCTGTAAGACATATGCAAAGTTAACATTATGCAAATGTACTTATTGTAATGGTATCCTAACAATTAGTATCTTTATATATTTCATTGTAAAAAGCCAAGAGATTTCCAAATTGTTCTGTTTATATTTGAAACATTTATTTTTAACAAACTATTAATTTTTCTTAAAATGTTACTCTCACATTTTCACACACACAAAAATAAAAACGTTATAGTAGTTTAACATTAACAGAAAAGCAATCATCTAGTATTCAGCTGGTGTACTTATTTATGATCATCTTTGTTATATTTTCATAGCAATGTTTAGTTCTATTTTCCACGGTAATATTTTGAAGACAGGCTCTACTAGTTAATCATATTTCTGATCTAAAACAATTCTTTCACATATGTAATCCTATTAAGTAACTTGTAAAGCAGTAACCTCAGACTAATCATAAAATTCAATTGTTTCTTAAAAGCATTCCAAATGATATAAAAATGTTAAAATAAGTGATGTCTAAAACGGCTCTGAATGCTAATGTCTATTCCTTTACAAAATTTATCTTTCCTTAACATACTAAAACAATGTGAGAGGGACATTCACAGTGGCATGCACAGATGGAGATCATAGACTATTGAGAATCATTTCATTATATCTATAACATATCAAAAATACATTTAAAAATTTCTCCTTGCAAAGACTCGTGAGTAAAGATAGACTCCAGAATATATTTAAGGTAATCATTTATAATCTGAAAGTTTGGCAACCTTTCACTTTAATCTCAGGGAAAATATTATCTCTATTAGCATCTACATCATCAGATGAAAACTTATTAATTGCGCAAAACAGATTTTGTAATCAAATGTAGGTTTCCATTGGCAATGAATATGTGACTATCTTCATACAAAGGTGAAGTATTTCCTCTCGAGGAGCTAAAACAATAAGTGGTATTTGAACTGCTGGTTGAAAGGTAGAGGCACTGGTAATCATTATTTCCCCTTGTTTGTTCAGCCCCTTCCAACAAAACAAACAACCTTTTTGTGATTGGATTGACATGGTGTTAACAATGCATTTAATGCCCAAATCAGTATGAATACAGGTAAAGCTCTCACTAATACCAGTACCAGGATGTTAAAGCCACCTATTTTCTAAGCTGCCAAAAAAAAAAAAAAAAAAAAAAAAAAAAAAAAAAAGGGACAGAGCTTCCCCTCCTTTGGCAAATAAGCCAGTATGCTAGCATTCACCAAGACACACCATATAATAACCTTATGTGTGATTCTTAAGGCCATATGTTAATACTCATCTACTATACCTGCTGTCTTTTCAGCAATTTTAGCTTCTGTTTCTTTCTCTTGGAGTTCCAGCTTAAACTTTAGTTTTCTCTGTTCTTTATCTTCTTTGGCCAGTTTCTCTTGAAGCTAAAGCACATTAAAAAAAAAAAAAAAAAATCATAGATTTTTATCTGACAAATATTTGCAAAAATGTAACTAATTTCAAAGTAAAGTTTTTGTTTTTTCTTAATTCTTATATAACTGCCTAGATATGTAACTCCAGAAAAAAATTAAGAATTTAAGTTATTTATAAAGTAATAATTACCTGTAATAATATAGAAATTGTAAAAACATCATAATATACACTTAATTTATTTAGTTATATGTGCATGAATAAGCAAATGAAATTCACAGAACCAACATTATTTTTAAAAATAACTACTGCAGGTCACGTACAGTGGCTCATGCCTGTAGTCCCAGCACTTTGGGAGGCCAAGGTCGGCAGAACACCTGAGGTCAGGAATTCAAGACCAGCCTGGCTAACATGGTGAAACCCTGTCTCTACAAAAAAATATGAAAAGTTAGCTGGGCATGGTGGTGGACACCTGCAATCCCAGCTACTCAGGAGGCTGAGGCAGAAGATCACTTGAACCCGGGAGGTGGAGATTGCAGTGGGCTGAGATTGTGTTGTTGCACTCCAGCCTGGGAAACAAGAGGAAAACTCAATCTCAAAACAATAATAATAAAAATAACTACTGCAAAAGCAGTCTCATCCATTGTTTTTTCTTAACACAAAATATTTGGAAGGGATTCACCTAATAAAATAATGGATAGCAACGCTTTAAAGTTTATCTTGATAAGTCCAATATTTTGAAACAAAATTAAGATAATAATCTTAATATCTGATACAAATCTCCCTTTGAGAAACTATCCCATCCTATTCCATTTAAATTGGCACTGATACTTGACTCATAATTGGCATTTAATAAATAACCACTAAATAAAAGTACAGAAACATTTCATGCTTTCATACAGAATCCCTCCAAATGCTTTTTAAATTCTTTCCTAGGCTTCTGTCATTTTAGTTGTTTTCCGTCAGACATGATCAACATTCCTAACATCATGCCTCAGTTTGATTACGTCAAATGACTAGAATATTAAAATTAGAGATATAGAGGTTAAAAAAAAGTATAGAAAATGTACATTATTTAATAAAATTATTTAATGGTCACATGAATACAACTAGAATAAGAGTCAGAACAGAAGATAAAACATAACAAGACAAATTGTATTGGATAAAATGCAGCAGTATAAGATAAACACAAGGTAAATTACAATATTGCCAAGCCTTGCTACTGAAATGTTTAATTACATATATTATTGAGGTCAAATATAGGGCACAGATACTAATAAAGAAAAAAAATTAAGAAAGTAACATGAAACCAGTGCATTCTATTTCTCATTCTCTATAACACTCAAATAAAGGTTTACTAAAATTTGAATGAATTTTTTTTTTTAAAGATACCTATACAAGGAACCAGGGGTTAGTTCATGAAAAAGGAAGTGCTAATACAGGAAAGCAAGGTAGGAAACAAACAAACAAAAAAAATGTTTTCATAGTCAACCCCTTAACTCAACCATAACCTGATGGCAAGGTATGGCAAAAACATAAAGCTACTGTTAAATGATTAAAGTGCAAAATAAAGCTGAAATATGATGGGCAATAAAGGAAATTTAGAAGATCCACAGCTAAAAGCATACTATACAATTATCAGACGTTCCACATTATACCTTTTTATTGCTTGTTCTCAGAATATTCAATTCTTTTAGAAGAAATTCTATTGTATTCTCTTTATCTGAGTCTGAAGTAACTTGACAAGGAGTCATACATTCATAATGCATATCATTATGTCTATGTTCCGTAATGCTGTAATAAAGAAACTGGTTAACATTCAGAGTAAGACAAACTAATTTTTTTGACATTTTGTATGCTACTTGAGAACCGTACCAACATAAGCAAGTAGTATAAAGGAAGGGAAAGGCAAAGAGATGGGCTATTTTTTTATAGGCCTTATATTAAATTTGCAAGCATAGGTAAATCTTGGAGTCACTAAGAAGAAATTTAGTAAGGGCTGGGATAGTCAGTGCAGCTCTATTTACCATGTATATGTTCGGTTGTAATTATACTAGATATCTCATAATCTGACTTTAGCCCAATCTCTACTATTTACTTTACCCATGTGGTTATAAAATGTTTATCCCTACTTCATTCTGTGTTTCTACCCCCCAGTATGTACTCCAATCTATAACCTAGTAAGAATCTGATAAAGGGTTAAAAAGTTATATTACATGTTACTATCCATTAACACATCTACTGAATAATTTGAAAGTAGAAATAAAAGCTCCTATGCAAAACTCTGTTAAAAATAGTATAAAGTATTGTTTTGTCTAGACTGAAAATACACTAGTCACTGAAACTTCTTTTTAAATCTAGTAATATTTTTATAGTACATGACTAATTATCAAAGTTCCTTAATCTCATAGTTAAAAGTATACGGTATCACAAATTCAAATCCTTTCATGAGCTAGATAGGCAAGGTGAATGGGTAAAAGCTGAGAATGTAAAATAACAAGGAAGGCAAATGGTAGAGCACAAGGCCCTTTTAACAGCGTTCAAATTCATTTAAATGAAAAATAGTGCTAACCCAAACCAAAATGCATGTTTGGGCTTACCTTATCCTGGAGCTGCCAGTTTTTTACTTTCATGAGTGATATCTCATGTATATCAATTTAACAGTTATTTCCAAATACATAATAAAAGGTCGCAGAAAATAATATTGAACAAGATAGAATTAAATCTCACTGCCTTTCTTCAGATGCACGTTGTGCTTTTTCACTTAGTTAACTAGACATATTATATCCATATCACAGAAACAGCAGAAAACTCTGGTAGATTCCCCAAATTCTAACGAGTTTAGAATTAGCCAACTCCAAAAAGAAAGAAAGAAGGAAAGAGGAAAAAAGGGAAGAAGGGAGAAAGGAAGACAAAGTTCTTCCACTTTCCACTCTCTCTCTTTTTTTTTTTTTCTTTTTTTTCTTGAGACAATCTTGCTCTGTCACCCAGGCTGGAGTGCAGTGGCATAATCTCAGCTCTCCGCCTCCTGGGTTCAAGCGATTCTGATGACTCAGCCTCCATTCCAGGATGTGCCATCACACCTGGCTGATACTTGTATTTTTAGTAGAGACACGGTTTCACCATGTTGGCCAGGCTGGTCTCAAACTCCTGACCTCAAGTGACCCGCCCGCCTCGGCCTCCCAAACTGCTGGAATTACAGGTGAGAGGCACCATGCCCAGCCCCAATTCCTACTTTCTGAATCTAAGGCTGTGAGCACTTACTTGGATTTTTCAGCAGTACAGTAAACAGACTCATCATCTGGATAAGAACTGATGATCTGAAAATTCCTTGATCTCAGCGCTGGCCATTTTGTTTTCTCATAACTTATTTCATTAACTAATTCAGTGGATTTCTGATGCATATTTTCCTCAGAATTCATAGTCAGTTGCTCATCTGGCTGTGTACTTTTATTTATTCTTGTGGTTTCTTGTTCAAGATAACTGTGGGTTATATCTGTATTTAAACAAACAAAATAACACATGATATATCAAACACTGTAACTACATATTAAATCATTCAACCAAATAAATATTTTTGGAAATACTCTCATAGCTTTAAAAATATAATTTCTAGTCTTATTTCTACTGTAATCAGATAAGCATATACAGCGTGGTTTTTACCATCAAGACATCCATTTCCACAGTCAATAGATATTTAGGATAGTGGTTCACAACTCTGACTGCATGTTAGAATAACCTAAGATTTTAAAAAATCCTCAGAGCTTAAAAATCTCTGGGAGTTAGACCTAGTCTATATTTCTGAAGATCCCCAAATGATTCCAGCATATGCTCAAGGCTGAGAATCACTGATTTGGAGATATTATTTTCTAGATTAACTTTTCTAGATTTCTGAAAATAGTATATAATAAGTTAATGATTATAGTGAAGAGTTAATATATGTGGAACTCTGGTATTAGACTGCCTGGGTTAGAATTCCAGCTTTGCCAAGTGTATCACTTTGGGCAAGTTACTCAACTCATCGTGCCTCAGTTTCTTTTTTGTAAAACGGGTATATAATATTTGTTGTTAAGGACTGAGTTAACATATGCAAAAGACTTGGCCTAGTGCCTGACACATCAATACATGTTAGTTATTATTTTTGTAATCATCATCATAATATTAAAATAGACATAAGGAGAATGATTTCTAACCTTCATCTCCAGGATGTATTATACATCAGAGAAGATACTTTGCAATGCCTATCTCACAAAAATTATCTTAAGCTACAGCTAGTAAATAATGGCTATTTCAAAGGGACAATGTATATTTAATGACAAAGTTAAGTTTTGGGGAGAAAATGACACACAAATACATACACAAAGCAAACTCATTCACTAGTAAATCAGTTCAACAGGCCCCAATACTGGTTGTAACTAGTACTTTCTTATTTAGGGCAGAAATATTTCTTGAACTTTATAAGGCAGATGAATCTCACCTGATTTTTGGTGGTGCCTTTTTTAATCTGCCAAACTTACAATCGTTGGAGGCACATACGAGTAGTTTTATTTTATTTGACTCTATTTTTTTTTTTTTTTTTTTTTTTTTTTTTTTTTTTTTTTTCTTTAGTGCAATGGTGCCATCTTGGCTCACCACTACCTCCATTACTCTGCTTCCCCGGTTCAGGCAATTTTTTTTTTGAGATGGGGTCTTGCTCTGTTAGCCAGGCTGGAGTGTGGTGGTATGATTATGGCTCACTGTAGCCTCGACCTCCTGAGCTCAAGCAATCCTCTTGCCTTGGTCTTCCAAATGCCTGGAACTAGAGGAGCATGCCACCTTGCCTGGCTCATTTTTTATGTTCTGTAAAGATGGGTCTTGCTATTTTGCTCAGGCTAAGAGTTGTTTTAGAATTTAAACAAGCGGGGGCACTTATAAACAAAATACCTCTCATAAAAATATTCACTTTTTAAGAAAAAATTATTTGCTTGTATATTTGCTGAAATTATGCATAGCCAGTTATGAACTCTAGGTCTTGGACATTATTCTTACTGGTAGCTAGAAGCTAGATGAGTATCATTTGGTTTTGGTAAATTACTCTCTATTTCACTCTCAAGAAATGAATTAGAAGAGAGAATGTCCTATCATAATTATACACTATAAGACAGCTGTGAAACTTCAATATTATATTAACTTAAATTTGACAGTTTTAGGAACAGATACATCTGAAGATTACTTGTTCATATTTGACATCTCAAAATTCTTACTTGGTTTGCATTAGATGGTCACCACACAACTTTTCTGTAATAGGCTGCCATTAGTATAATGGAACTCTCAAAATCTGAATGAGAAAAGTTTATAAATGGGCACTAAGGAAAGCCTCTATATCATTAACACACCATGCTTCCTAACACATATAACATATAACATTGTAAGTAACTCAAATGAAAAAACAATCAGAAATAATTACTGAAAGCATTATCAAAATAACAGAATCGCCCCTAGGGACATATTTCTTAAAAACTATTAGGCCCCACACTCTTCTTCAATTTATGAAGTACCATGTTTTTTCAAAAGGAAAAAGAATGGTCCATGGATCACTGTCAACTATAAAAGCCCGGAGGTCCCCAGGACAGCCGCACAACTGCTTCAGACTCTTGCCCAACACTTTTTGACCTGTTCGAGGCCAAATTTACCATTATCTACAACTTGTCCCAGGTTTTAACCACCATATTTCTAGATCTAATTCAGTATATTTTTTCCTTTCTTTTTTTTTATTCCTAACCTCCTGGTGTTTACTTGACCTTACCTCTGCTATTTAAACTCGCTATTTGTTTACTAGTATTATAGTTCTCTTCCTTCGGCTATAACCTAATGTCAAATTTTGTGATCTCCTGAACTCTTGATAAATAACCACTATTTCACTTGTGACCATACTATCTTCTTCAAACTTAGAGCAGACATGGAAGCTTCCCAATAAGAGCTTCCCAATAAGAGAACTCTTTGTTGATCCTTCCTGGGTCTTAGTAATCATAACTCCTTGAAGTTTTATTACAATGCATCAATTTCTGACACACTCTAGACTTTCATCCTAAAATTTAATTTTAAATGTTTAATATTTTTAAAGAACCCATACTGTGTGACTTGGCTCTATTTCTAGATATTTCTCATTTTGTTCAGTAGTGAAAACTTTTAGATTTCTAATTCAAAAGGCTCATCAGAAATTTGGAGCTTGCTCTGCAAATCAGACTATCCATACCCTTCTACTGAAATTTATTTTTAAAAGATTAAAAAATTTTTTTAGAGTCAGGATCTTGCGATGTTGCCCAGGCTGGCATCAAATTCCTGGGCTTAAGCAATCCTCCCTCCTCAGACTTCCAGTCTGAGAATTTAATTTTACTTTAGAATAAACATAGCTGATTTATAAAAATTTTCCTGTCTTTTTCTTTTTTGACCAACTATTTTGGCAATATGATTCCAGCAAATCAATGTTAAATCCTCTGAAGGCTCTCAATACTCTTCCTCTCTGCCATCCTGCATTATACTATATTAGTATTCAAACACTTGTATTAATTTATTTAATCATTAATTTACTGATCATTCATGGAACACTTACAGTGTGATATGCCTTGTGGTAGGTACTGGGAAAACAAAGATGAATAAGAAACAAACACTCCACTCAAAGACTCTCTAGTACAGTGAGGATGGCAAACTCATCTAATGATCTGAATACAATATAAAAAAGACTATGCTTGGGCTATGGAGGCCAAATACATACAATATGCTAACCATACTAATACTCACCTGTAAGACTCTAGGAAGAATTCACATAGGCATTTTCTCCAGAAAAAGGACAAGTAGGGTTATGAGAAGTAGCAAACTACCAAAGGATAGCCAGGGTTACATGAAATAAAAAGTTAACAGATTATAAAAATAAGAAGAGAATAGGAAGAATAGGAATAGATACGGAGAAGGAATCAATTTAGGAAAAACAAAGAGACAATTTCTTGTATTGAAATGACAAGATGTTATAGCCACAGTCAGGAAGAAAATTTCTAAAATGAGTAAACAGTTAAGGACAAGGTCCAAGGTATGGCTCATCTGGAAATGGGTTGATGAAACAACTTAAAAGTGAACATACTTGGAGAGGAGAAAATCAAGAGGTTAAAGTGCTGAAAGTATCAACTTTGAAAGCACTGAAGTCATCCAGAGAAATGGCAGAAAATGAAGAGAAGAAATGAGAGCCAAATGTAAAAGATTTCAATGACTGCAGAAGCAAGCTAAATAAGAAGGCTGACAAAAACTGACAGTAGATAATCCTTCAGTGTTACCTTTTTATTTTGAAATAATATCTTATTAAAAAGTTACAAAACAATACAAAGAATTAATATATACACATTACCTAGACTCCCCAAATATTAACATTTTATCATACTTGCTTTATTAACCATTGTTTCTATATGTATCTACACAAATACTTTTTTTTTTTTTTTTTTTTTTTTTTTTAAGAGGGTCTCGCTCTGTCCTCCAGATTGTAGTGTAGTAGCATAATCATGGCTCACTACAGCCTTGACCTTCTGGGCTCAAGCAGTTTTCCCATCTCGGCCTCGCAATTAGTTGAGACTACAGTTGTGTGCTGCCATGCCTCACTTTTTTTTTTTTTTGAAAAAAAAAAAGTTCACTGAAAAAGAACTATGAAACTGGTAAAGAAATAGCAAGTTTAAATAGCAGAATAAGGTCAAGTAAACACTAGGAAGTTAAGAATAAAAAACTGAAAGGAAACATATATTGAATTAGACCTAGAAATTTGGGATAAGTTGTAGATAATGGTAAATTTGGTCTTGAATAGGCCAAAAAGAGTTGCCATGTTGCCCAGGCTGGTCTCAAACTCCCGGGCTCAAGTAATCCACCTGCCTCTCCCTCCCAAAGTATGGGGATTACAGGCATAAACCACCATGCCTGACCTCACGAATTTTTTTTTTCTGAAACAAAAAAAGTTACAGGCATGATGCACTTTGACTTTTCAAGACAAATACTGTTCTAGCATCTTACATTTTGCCTAAATTTCTTTACCTTATTCATAGCCCAACTTTGTGAACTAGTACCTTTTCTAACCAAGAGAAGATGAGAGCAGTTAATAACTCTCTCAAGTCACTAACTTCTCAAGAAGTTCAGTCTGCAATTATTTTCCCTAAGTTCTCCAGCCCAGAAGGATCTTTATGAAGTGATAATGAGATGAAGCTACTAAAGCTTTAGCTGAGCTTATTTGTATTGCTCATCACTTTAAAAAGAACTGCATACAGAAATATAAACACAAGCCAATAAAATGCCTTGAAAGTGAAGCTATGGGTCTGTTTTGCATATTAGTCAATTTATAAGATAAATGTTAAACAGAAAGATATTCACTTTTGATTCAAACTCTTATCTCTAGGCAGATGAAAATTTAAACCTAAAACTATCCTGTTGATTCTTCTATCTCTTTCATATGATTTGAAAAGGAAACTCTCTTTAGTAATCCAC